AACATTTTGTAGATGGTCCTGAAACCTGCTGTATCCATCGGAGAAGAGGCAACAGTAGAACAAGACAGCAAAATCACCCAAGCTATTTTCAGCTCTCTTCAGAACAAATTACGAGTGCAAGTTTGCCTGCTCCTCTGTGTTGGAAAGCCTTTGGGACTGTAGGAAAATTAGCAAAGCAGGAGAACCCTTTGAACTATTTCTCCCATGTCAGACTGGTCTTTCATGGGACAACAATCCAACAGATCAGCTTGTCACAAGACAAGGCAGAACAGTAGCCAGTTGTTCCCCCACTTTGGCTCTGCTTTGCAAAGCATAAACTCTCTCAGTTAAAGGGCTAGACAAGGTGATAAGCACTGGCCCTATACAAGGTGGAATCCATATACCCTGTCCTCAATTAGCCATGTACTTGAACCTGAAGTTCTTGCCTTTTCTGGCCCCCCACAGACACCCACAGCAAGAGCATCCACAGGACAGCAAGAAAAAATGGTGGTTGAGACCGTGCAAGTAGAAGCCCTGTCCTTTTGACATGATTCACGTGATGCGTGTAAAAAAGTCAGGGCTGCAGTTGCACGGTCACGGCTGCTGCCTTGAAGCTAGAGTGGAACCATCTATTCTACCTTGTAGCCATGCAGCTGAACCCAGATTCTTACTGAATGTAAAAGAAAAAGCACATATTAATATCTGGATAAAATGTCAACAGCGCTGGTAGACCCAGATAAACCCAAACTAAATGTTAACTGCTATGGTTTCCCAAAGTAGTTTCAGAAAGAAGCAAAGGATTTGCTAGATTGTTCAAGTTTGGGGATACTTTAAAAGTTTGCAAACTTTGCGAGACAGTATCTGGCAGCACATGCAAGAAAAAGCAATGTGGACACATGGGGAAAAACCCTCTAATTGTCTCACTTCCAGCTTTCTGCAAACTCATTCTCCCCCTCAAACTAAAGCTCAAGTAATGGCCAGAGGTGGATATTCACAGTTGGATGACCAATCAACGAAGCCCAGGCTCCACCAAACTCCTGTCTTCAGGAAGGATGATCATCACGAGGCAAGGCAAAGAAGTGAAAGCTGCTGATTCCTGTAACATTATGCAGTGAGCCCTTTGAGCAGAGAGGTAACACTGGTTTCTTATGTTAGCGTTTAGATCTTGCACAACATGTGACAGGATGCAATTTCCGGCTCCAGAGAACTCATGGCCACCAGCCAAGTTGCATTTTCCTTAGCAGCAGGGCTGCAGAAAGGCAACTAAACTATAAGTCAGATCCAACTTTGTCACCTACAATGTGCTCTAGGATCTGTAAGTGACCTCAACAGGTTCCAATACAGACAAAACCTACCACCTCTCCCTTCAGGTATTTCTCATTCATTGGCAGGTCTCAGAACCGAGGCTTTCATTCGCCTTCCTGTGGCCTCTGCTTCCAACGGAGATGCAAAGTGGGTCCTGATGGTGGCTGAAGTGGGTCAAATTGAAGTCAAAAGGACACCCAATTCATCTGTTTCTCAACCAACAGCTTAAAAAGTTAGCAGTTCATTTCTGCTGTATGCAAACATTAAATTAAACATTAACTAGGTTGCTCATTTTCTTTTCCTGAGAGCCCTGTGGACCCAAAGGCTGCCACGCTGGCGATACTTGGTCTGGTGATACACAGGTGATACAAAAGCTTGGGAATATGCCTGGGACATTTTCTGGGAGGCTCATATAGACTTTCCTCACCCCTGCTTTCCAGAATGGGTTTACACGGGGCAATTCATACCATGATACCATGCCAGAAAATGCCCCAAGGCTAAGTAGACGTGTGGCATCTGTGGGGGGAGGGTCAAGTGACATCATGAGCATCATAACACCATTATGGAAACAATGTGAATTACATAATATGCAGCAGACGCCACAGTGATGCTTGGGCATCAAGACATCATCACAATCTATTTGCAGAAATGACATAATTCGCATCCTTTGTGTGATGTTGTCATGACACTTGTGGCGTGCACCAGATGCTTATGTTATGCCAGGGAGCAGAAAGGGTGCCCCTCGTTCACCTTGGCAAGAAGGATGGTTTCAGATGCCAGAAAGTCTTGCTCACAAAAAGTGGAAGAGGAGGTCAGTCTGTAGGAAAACACAAGGCCATCTTTGAGGATGTGTGGAGCGGGGCACGAGGAAAGTCTTTGGAGCAGCAGCATATTTAGGGTGTTCCGCTGTGCCTCATGGTGCAAGGAACCCAAGAATGCACTGTTGTAGGGGAGAGGGACAGGCCCCCTGGAGAATCTAAAGCCAGCCCATTTTGTAAATCTTACAACAGGGAGGGCAGCTTCTTCTGGCCAGGAGGAGGAGGAGATGATTAAAATTATTGCCTTGCTTAACCTCCAAGAACTGCAAGAGCAGAGTGATGATAGAGGAATGTGATTAGAGAGGAGATGGTTGGTGGGACTTGATGCAACATAGGGATCTTAAGCTCCACTAGAAGCCCAACACACATTTTAAAAATTCCCAAATGATGGATCAAAATATTCCTCCAATATTGCTTCCTGCCACACTTCCTGTGGGCTTCAGAAGTAGAAGTTCATAAGGGCACACCAGTCTCTTTGATTCCACATGGGCATGAGGGCTAGGAGCTGGCTGAGTCATGACCCATTACCCAGCGAGGAAAGAGAGGGGCAAATATTGGGTTGCAATTGGTTGTAACTTCCCTCTCCCTGGCATAACATAAGCAGTGGAAGCAAATAAATAGTGGGGAGGAAGCCAGAAAGTCTGGCCTAGCTTCTCAGAATGATACTTCTAGGCTTCATTAAGGCAGGGGTCCGTTCGCCTGCAACCCACTTTAAGCCAGCCCTGGCCTGCTAGCTTAAGCAGACTAACTGGAGCAAGTCCAATTCATATCTGAATTAGGGGCATGATATTCTGGAATATGGAATTCCTGGGGAAATTCTTTGGGTGGTGTGGCTTTTCAGCACTTGGAGCACACTATACCGAGAGAGGAACAAGCATCTCACGGCTGGACCAGGTGCTGGCTACTCAGATTTGAATGGAGGGGGAGGAAGAGGAGAAGTCCAGCAGGTGTTAGTTTCATTCCGTTCAAGACAGTGTTGCAATAGAAGGTTCTCACCCAACACCAAAAGCTCATGAGTGGGGTTGGCCCAAAGTACTGTCGGTGGGGAGATGTCTCAGCCTGTTTATTCTCGTATGTCCTTCCCAGATTGATCTGGAAAATGAGAGAAAGAGAGAGAGATATATATAGCAAGTCCAACAGTTCTCATTCCAAACATACTTTTAGGAACTGCTTTGCTACAGATGAAATCTGAAGCACGCCTCTTGGCAGCAAGTCAAAGCAGATTGAGTAATCTACTGAATGTCAAAATGTACGTCGCACTTGACTTTAACAGCTAGACTTTCCACTGTGAAAAACTGGGCAACTAACAAACGTTGACTTTTCACTTCTTTCCACCATGTTTGGGGAGAATTCCAAGGGTCAGCTGCCTGGAGAATTTGCTGGTGAGGAACAAATCATATAAATAAAGATGAATCATATTCAGGGGTGCACAGTTTTTGTAAATGGGGGGCTATCCTTTTTGGGAAAAGGAAATGAACTTGGGAGGGCTGTAGGAGAGGGACAGGGAAAGTAGGCTGGTCCCATGTTTCAATTATTTTGAGGGAGTGCATGGAAGTTATGGGGCTTAAGGATTTTGCATTTACCTCTTCCCCAACCTGGGAAAAGTCAACCCAATGGCGGAGGGATTTGGACAGTTTATGGATCTAATGGAACTTTTAAATAACAGCCCTTAAACCCTGCCCCGAGCTCACCCCCATTCTGCAAAACGGAGCTTGCCCTAATCCAGCTTAAAACACTTTGCACCCCATCAAAACCACTTTGCATGTCTGAATGCTCTCCACTCTTCCATCTAAGAATGCCACTGGGTTCAGACATAGCTGTAATCCAGCACATTTTTTCCTATTTATCTCATCTTTTGTTCTGGCTTTCAAATATTTTCCCATACTCACCATCTTTAAGATCTTTACCCCCTCAAGGATGCCTTTGCAATACAATGCCATCAGAGTCATTGAAAATCAGGTGGCATACAAGCTGAATACATTATTATTATTAGAATTGTCATTAATACTTTTTCCTTTTTACTATAACCAACGTGGAGTTATTAGAAACTGAGGAGACATAATTGGCTGAATTGTATATTCTCCAATAATATAAATATATACTTAATAATTGTGGAAGAATAGATAGCCTCTGATACAATTCTGGAAAGTCTTGCTGTGTTCTTGAAAGTTACTGGTATATTTTCTGTTCATTTAGTACTCTGAATTTTCCTATTTTCACAATGAGACTGCATGGGATCCACAGAACTTTGCAGCCAAAACTACTCTCTTTCCAAATATTACATTATAAGATAGTATTGAAAATAATTTGCAAGCCAGGCAAACAAGAGCAGGCAGGCAGGTTTACAGTACCTTTAGGGACAAACGTGAGAGAATTACTAAATATTCAGAAACGAGACTGGCCTTTTTTTGGGCCATCATTGAGGAATTCGTGGCCCAAACCGTTACCACACTTGCCACACGAGACCTGGAAGGAAAGCAGAGGAAATTAAAAGTAAAAACTCTGCTCTCGTATACCAGCTGCCAGCATAGGGCCCCTTTTCTGCAATCAGCTGAAGAGCAGAAGTATAGCCCATAATACAGAATCATCTTTAGCCAGCAATGTCCATTCCTACAGTTTTTCTAAATGTTTATTCAGAAGGAAATGCTATTTCCTCTGCACCCCCCTGCTTTCTTTCCTCTACTAATTGCTTCCTTAATATTAATTATTTGGTTCTTTTGTCTGCAGCGGAGGGAAGGGCTTTAATTATGGACAATATTTAATGCTTGATCAATACGATCAGGAAGCTTCCAATTAAACATAGAGTATCTCCAAAATACTTCAAAAGCAGGTTAATATTTTCTGAACATACTCCCCAAACTAAATTTTTTTGGGAAAACCCACAGCTCTGAACTAAAAAAAAAGGAGAGGACGACAATCAAGAAATGTCTAAACTGCGATCAACTAGCATCAACACTGGCTGTAAAAAGTAAGTGAAAACATGAGGATAATTCTCGCTCGTGCCATCATTATGGAAGCTATCCATGTTAGAGAAGTTGCTCACATTCTGAACAGACAGGTACTCAGCCTCAAAGCCAGGCCTTGGAAACCGCCCCCCCCCCCCCCTACAATTTTACATGCAACTCTGGGCATCTCCAGATTTTCCAGTGAGCTCCAGCTGCAGTTAGGCTACTGAGTCAAGAACTGCACCCTTGCGAAGCTTTGAGTCCGTTTCAGTACAACACAAGTCCTCACCTTGAAAGCTCCCGGGCGTTCTAAGTACTTGGAGATGCTGTCGTTGTGGATGGGATGGGTAAAAGCTGGCCATGGGGACGAATGCACGAATTTGGAATGGCTGGAGAATAATTCATAGCTGCATTTGGAGCAAATGTATATGCCTGTGGGCAAAGATAGAGGCAAGGAGGAAGAAGATATATAAATGCATAGAGGAATGAAACGTGCATGCATTCACACGACTTCTTAGATGTGCAGAGGAAAACATGTCTCGTTACACTCATCTTAAATACCCACCAGAAATTATTTCTTAACCATTACAGGTTTTCCTCAAAGTTGTCGTTTTTCCTTCTTCTGTACAAATTCATAATTAGCATTTTCATAGTCTGTAAGGAGCAGAATATTGGGGCTGATTGACCTAGTTCAGCCTTCTCCAATCTAGCCCCTTCCAGACTGGCTTGTGGAATTCCAGGAGGACTTAAGCCAGTGTTGTCCAAACCTGGCCACTTTAAGATGAGTGGACTTCAACTCCCAGAATTCCCCAGCCAGCCATGCTGGCTGGGGAA